ACAGCACTGCAATAATGTTTTGCTTGTTTAGTGGTGTGTACACATTGGTCCAAGAGCGAACATCGATAAGTGTGTGTAAGTATCGGGCCACCTCTAAGTAACAGTTGTGTGCACACTGGCCGATCGGTCGTCGTCGTCGGTACGGTGGATTTTTGTAAATTTTAGAATTAAAATAGAAAGGCAATTATTTATGGCAAACGCGTAATTGTGCGCATTGGTTTAAGCGAAAAGGTAAAAAGAAGGATTCATAATAATGTTTATTCAGGGAGAAATATAGTATACAAGTATATATACATATGTGTGTGCCTGTGTGCTTAGCTTATCAAAAGAGACATAGAAAACTGCAAAAACAAAGGTGTTATTGACTTCGCGAGTGGCAGGCAGCTTTCTTTTTTTGCTTCTGGCTCGTAGCGCATTCCAGTTCCACCCTCTGTCTATTGGATTTTGCTGAATGAGCACAAATTGTTTTGTATAAATAATTAGACACCAGCTGAGGCAAGTGGCCATAAAATAAAGCAACATAAAACAGCTAAATTCGAAATGCAATCGAGTCTGGGGCAATCAATACAAACAAATACAAACTCAATTGCAAATACAACTGCAATAACAACGGGCCCCTCGAGTGTCAAACGTATACGTGTGTGTGTATGTAGGTGTGTGTATATGTGCGAGAGTATGTAAGTGGTGCGTGAAAACAAAACAAAAATTGTATACAATATGGAAAAAGAAAGCGCATAATTGAATAAATAATAACAAATGAGGGCGAGGCCCAATGACAAAAAGCCACTGTTGGCATCAAAGCGAAATGCAAGATTAACAAAAATATGCATGCCTGACGCATTGTTTACGTGATTTTGCCATTCCATGCAAACGCAAACTCACACAAGTACACGCACACTCGCATGCAGATGTGCAAAAAACAGTTAACTCTTGTGGTTGTGTGCGGGTGCATTGGTCYCAGGGTTTCTTTTGCAACGAACGAAAAGCAAAGGAAATAAAAGAAAAGAGAGTAACCAAGAAAAATGCGAAACTAACCGCAATGCATGAGGTTGTGGCTGGCCTGGACAGGGCATGGCAGGGCAAATCAAATTAGCAGCAGAGAACAAAAATGTGCAAAACGGTTGGGCACGCCCTTGAACTTGCGACATTCGCCTCTTTGCCCCCYTCTACYCGATTGGTACTTCACTGTTAACCGGCTCAGAGCCCGAAGTTCACTTCGGATTGAAATGTTAGTGATATCGCGTCTCTTTCTTGTATCTATTCCTTATGTTATCTTCGGTCTTGTATACAAATTTTATTTTTATACATATACGACGAATTTACACTACTTGTCATACTAACTTATCAGGAATCTGTATAAATTGATTTAAAATTTCACTGGCTTATCAGATATTTTTGCGGAGCGAGCTCGCTGCTCTTATCATACAAATATATATGTATAAATATATATAATAGGTATATTT